AGCGTATGTGGACGAATCTGGCCGCTTTACGAGCGGGCTAGTACTATGCTGGAATATTGGTGAAGGGAAGGAGCCTTTCGCTGCAGAGTTGCTTACTAGAAAATATCAACTGATCAGTTACTAATTATTGAACAGGAAAGTAAAGCTCTCATATTCACCTAGCTTTCAAAAACGGAATATCCATCTACTCCTTAAGCGTGGCTTCTTGAACTTTCCTGGATATTCACTGACTATCAAGCAAACGTAAACGAATACTACAAAGCAATTCCACAAAGTCCTTGATAAACTCCGACTTCCATTAGATCAACGCGGAGTCACGAGAAAACATATCACTCGCATACTCCATAAGTAGTACCCACCGTTAAACACCTTCCCCTTTAAAGGTCACTCACATCCCACCGATTTTCATTTACCTCTTTTAGGTCAGCTCCAGCGGCTGGCCTGTTCGGTCGCTCTTCGGATGTGACATGCTATTTGCAAAGCGGAGTCCCATTTACTCTTTCCGATCCCCGACCGTCTTGAATTGTATAGACATTCCCCCGGCGGTCGGTAATGATAGACGAACCTTGCCATCGACTGAACAGCTTCCGCGATCACAGTCCACTCCTTCCAGGATTCTGATTATCCTTCCACTTGGTCTTCGCACCTATGGGGAACGTCGCGCCTTTCTACTTGTCGTTTTCTCCATAATCCTTTCCTGAACAACGGTCAAGTTTTCTCGAACATTCCTCCTTCCTTTCTCTAGTCACTTCGGAGACAAGAGTTTTGCCAGCCACACCCCGATTTCCCGATCAACCGGAAGGCGCGGATGTCAAGTCTACATCACCATGAACGGGGACTTGCCTGTAGTTAGCTGCATGGGAGCACGATGAGCTAGCAACACTATTGGCAACTTCACTTCTCAGTCACTTCCTTTGACCGCCAGTCACTCCTTGATGGTTCGGTTGTTACGTTCGGTTCAACCATTTGTTTGCAGGTGGTATGGTGCCGTCCTTAGCCGTCCAATGCCTAACTTCTGCAAGCGATTCCTAAACACTTCGCTCTCAAAGCAAGCCACTGATCGGTGGGATCATTTTGGCACCCAGGGTTGGCCACGATGTGATGTATTACCACTTCGCCGATCGTCGTCGCCCGTTGATTTGAAACTGTAACTGCATCTACCCTTCGCGACAGGTGTTTTGTCATTATCACGATATATTGATTTCCGCTAATCGTCACCAGAAACGGGCCCAAGACGTCAACGGACCATAACTCGCTGATTTTCGAGACAGGAATAGGTTCCATGGGATGGGTTACTCTTGTTGTTTCCCCTTTCATTAGTAGGCACCGCAGAATCCATCACCTCACTTCTCATCCCAGGCCAGTAGTCCCTCTGCCGAAGTAAGTCATACCTCTTGATGCACCCCGTGTGTGCCATCTCATGGCATTCGACGATAAGCTTCCATCTCAAGATTCGAGGTAGCAAAGGCAGCACAACATCCTAATAGGTGGCGTTCCTGAAAATAATGCCAAATTCACTTGGACTCAGCCGATCGAAGTAACCCTCGAACGTCTCCAATACCTTGTCTTCTCTCCATTCTCAATGTTCCTTCCATTCAACGAGACGGCTGCAACCTTCCGTAACACAGAATCCTGCCGTTGGTCTTGCACCAACCTTCCGGGATCCAGTTCGGCGACCAGGTTTCCGGCCTCAATCATGATCCTGGAGGCCTCATCTTAAACCTGTGGTGTTGACACCCAATTTGCCAAGTGGTTTACCTTCCACTGCACGTACTGGATCGTGTAGTCATACTCTTGTAGCAGGGGTACCCAGCGCGCGAGCTTTCCTTGAGAATCCCTGATGGTTCTGATCCACTCCAGGGTTTTTTGATCGGTTTTGACATGAAATATTTGTCCAAACAGGTATAGCAACCACTTATCCAGAGCCCAGACGATTGCCGAACATTCTTTCTCAATAATTGAGTACTTCTGCTCAGCGTTAGTCAGGACACGGCTGGCATATTCTAGGACTCCATGTCTCTGCTTTAGGACTGCGCGGATACCGCGATCACTAGCATCTTTTGCAAGAGTGAAAGTCTATTCGACCCTGGGCGGTTTTAGGGTCAGTTGGGGATCCAGCATCCACGCTTTGACATGTTCGAAAACCTCAGGTGCTTTCCTGGTTCATTCGAATTTCCGAGCAAGTCGTACGGTACCAGCAATCGTGTTGAAATCCTTGACAAACGGGCTGTAGTATGCTGCTTGCCCAAGAATTGGGGATAGTACATTCCTCGATCTTTGCCAGTTTTTCTGGCAGTGCGGTAACTCTCCCTTATGCCCCAGCACTGTTACCGAATGCTGAGCGAGCTGTGCCTTGGCTTCATTTGTCCGCAGGCCAGCCTCCCAGATGTATTTTAATACGGCCTTCGAATGAACTGCGTGCCCTGGTTCCAAACTGCTCTAAAAAACGACATCGTCTCCGTGCACGGTAACACTCTGCGGTTCCTTCGTTAGGCTAAGGGTCAAGCGCGGGAATATGAATGGTGCCCCAGACAAACCAAAGTCACCCGTCTAAATTGATATTAGGTGTCCCCAACCGTGAACGCTATTTTCTCCCGGTCCCCCTCCGTGATGGATAGTTGCAGTTATCTGGAAGGCAAGTCAAACACGGACTGTACTGGTGGCACGTCACAAGACGGAAGCTCTCGAACATGCAGCTCACTTACGGCAGTGCTTGGGCAGCCTGCAAGGTTGATTGCGCCATACCTTGTCACCAGTTTTCCCCGCTTTAGGTCAACTGCGGAATTCACGCTCTTCAGAAAACCTGCCCCCAATATTGTCTGACCCAAGTCCGAGCTAATTAGGAACGCGTCTTCCACGGACTTGTCGACTAGGCGTATTGAGTGTATTGACAATCCATCAATTTTCAGTCGATATCCAACCACTGCTTTCACGTCTAGCGCGCACGGTTTGCATTCAGCTTCGTTCTCTATCCGCCTCAGCGATACCTTTGCTCCTGCATCAATCAAGCGCAGCTCCCTCTACCCGTCTATCCCGATGACGTCCTGTACGGTAGCTTGTGTCACTGCGCCAATTGCAACCCACCCAGGAAAAGAGGGGAAATCCAAATTTCTACTGTGTACTATTGGTAAGGTACGAGGGCGTTTATTCTTCCAATGGTCAGGCGTGCCACACCTGGAGCGGCACAGCACGGCAAAACTTGTGACCAAAATAAAATCCTGCTCTCATACAAAAAATCATAAGACACGAAAAAAGTGCTTATTTCTCAGGTGGGAAAATTGGATCTGTATATCAAAGTACCCAGGAATTCCGGTTGTACTTATCCACTTGTAAAAATGTGAATAACCCAGCTGCGTCGTAAGATAATTTCTAATTCTGAAAAAATCATTTGGTATCCAAACTGACTAGATCCGCGCAAGCTAAGATCCAATCGCGTGGATCCAGTGTTGGAACATTTCAAATATGTTATTTCTAATCGTACATTTTTAATATAAAGTCGAAATCCTTCGGAGTGCCGAGGTAAACTGGTAAAGAATGTTACTGCGACATTTATAAGAAAAATAGGGAAAAATTTTGTCAATCATATTCAAACATATTCAAACCATAAAGAAATGGTTTTTGCATAAGTTTCGATTGCCAGTAAGACAGCAAGAAATACGTAGATCGTGGAAGTTCGGTATGTATTTTATTCTCATAAGAAGAAGTTGGCGCAACTGGATTAGAAAAATACACCATGTTTCAAGTTTTGCTCTACTCGCTTTATTGAGGGTCAGTTTCAAAACAAATAGGGACGGGAGAACTTGACCTCAGTCAATGGCTTCTCGATGAGCTGCCACTGTTGAAATTTTCATTTCAATGGATACACACATGATTGAAACGTCAACTGAGAAAGATTTTGCCACTCTGTATGGCAAATGCGATTGGCGATTTGTCCGAAAAAAGCACGCAAATTTACCTTAAGGTTTTTAATTTGAGACGAAAGTTCTAACCTAATTACACCCCTTATACAGTCTCGAGATCTAACACACCATGCTTTACTGATGTCTTCTATTATTACATGACTTCTAAATTGTGTTATATTATGGTTTTTTACGATAGATTATGGCGATAGCATTACATATCCGGTGAAGTGTCGTTGCTGTCAGCAAGCAACAATACTTTCCGCGTGGCTTTGCGGTATACAGCGAAGTAGTCCGTACAGAATTCTCCCACATCCTCATATCCAGTGTTACTCCGCTCTAGGTAGATAAAAGCTTACATTTGCAGCGGTGGTCATATTCTGCTTTCGTCGGAATGAAGTCCAATCAACAGATATTCAACACAGTTTGCTCTTTTCTCAAGATCCGATCCCCATTCGTACTTTCCATATCCCTTAAGATTCTGGTGGCTAGAGGGGTTACTTATAAGCCACTTGCGAGTAGTCTGGACGTGGCCCAGTTCCACACAAAGCAACTATCCCAAGGCCAGACACGTGGTTGTGACGTTGATCTGGATTGTTACGAAAAGGCGGTTAGAGTTTTGTGGCTGACCACCTGACGTTAGCCAGCCCTATTAGGACCGGTTCTGTTTTCTCCGATTACATCACATTCCTCCAAGTTGACCTTATTCGAATATTGACCAACGTGCACTTCGTTTCGTCATCTCGGCTGCACAAAAATGCGCAGAACTGGTATTCCCATGAACAGAAAACGTTTGAATTACAGGTAGCGTCGCCTCCGTTTTGGATGGCCTGTACATGTACTGGGGACCAATCGATAATCTTGGCGATGTGGATATGTATGGCATACCAAGGCGCATATTTTCAGTTCGTGTGTGGTGGGCTGATGATTTCAACGAACACTTGATGCTCACCCTTTTGGTTCCACAAACGTAGTATAACATCTATCTTACACACGTTCATAGATATGTAGGACGGAGTTCGCCATCTTTCGTCACATGGGAGGGTTTGAGCACGCGGAAAGATCTGCATATATAAATACTTGATAAAACATTCGCCTCAGATTTGAACGACATAGCAGCCCTTCGAAATTCTTCACTGGAAAAATGAACTCAAAAGCTATCGTGAAAAATGTCGACATGGATAAACAGATGGAAAGACATGCTCTGGAGCTGTGTGCTGACGCAATGAAACGTTTCGATTTGGAAAAGGATATTGCAAGTCACATAAAAAAGGATTTTGAACGAAAGTATGGTCCAACCTGGCATTGTATTGTTGGACGAAGTTATGGCAGGTGGGTTCGCAACTCATCCAATAAATCAAGGGTTATCATGTTAAAAACGTATTCAGCACAGTCTAGTTGAACAATCACCTCGCAAAGTACGCTTCAAATTTACCAGTCTCAGTCTTTGTAACGTACTACTCATAAGGTTGCTGAAAATCCGTCGACAGCCCACGACAGGCTTCGCCCTTTTTGAGGCTCATCAGGTAGGCGCAGTCCCCGGGTTTCCGTCAACCTTATTTTCTACTAGAAACCAAATTGCACGGAATCGGCGAATATACGCTCATTTGCAAACTAATTTGGTTTTTCGAGAGACTCACCTGCAACCCAGCTGAATCTCTCTCTCGGTGCAAAAATTTCCTCACGCAGAAGAAAAATCGCTCAGTTGTAGCACCCTTCCGGTGCCTACCTGTCATGCCACCCGAAGGTTGCACGAGGGCTGGGATACTATCAGGTTGCCCAAGGGGAAGTCGAGAGGTCGAGGTCGGTTTCGAACCAGAGACCTTCCGGTCAGTAAACTCGCGCTCTAACCAGCTGAGCCTTCTCGCGGCTATAAACCATCTCAAACGTTTTCGCACTAATAGACCACCTTTGTTTGTGCCATACTGCTTTGGAGTCTTGTAGGCGTCGTTCGATCATTGGTGTAGATTCAGTACTTAGTTCTGTGTCCTAGTTAAAACGCTATTCACCAATCGATGGGTCACTATCCCAAGGTAACATACTCCGCCACATTATGGAATAAATTACCAATAAGGTAATGAAAAATGTCCATTTACCATGGATACGACAGAATTTGTAGACCGCTTTGAGGAGTCTGTCTTGAGGCGCCTCAACGACTATAGGCTAGTTGGTCGATGAGACCCTAACCGCCTTCTTACTAATGTCAATATTTCGAAAGCCAAGCAACTCACGGGAAGAGTAAGTAGTAAATGGAAGGTCATCGAATAAGCGCATATGGGGGTCGCTGCGGGCGTCAAATTGGATTGACTGGGGCGTAAGTTACTGAATAATTTTCCTGGCAATTCATTGTTTAAGCATGTGTTCTTGATTTGTGTGGCCGAAAACCTTGTTAGTACGCGGCTCAAATAAGGCTGTAGTGTGTCACCATCCGGCCGGCGTAACTTAACAGGTTAAGATTTAAGTGGGAACGTCCTATTCCAGACGATCGGGGGGGATGATATCCAAAGCCATGTTTTTTCCCAGACTTGGTACCATCTGGTCATGTCAGTAAACTGAAATAGAAAAGCTGTAAGTTAATCGATACCCGTTCAGTTATTATCGGTTTCAACAGCTTAGCTATGTAGTGCATAAGTGTCTGGCTGCGAGATCTGCACCTACTTGGATCACGACCCATCAGATATCCCGGAATGTGGATCCGATACAAACCGTGGATTCCTGAGAGATTAGTATTTGCTGACTTCATTTTTCAGCGATTACAATCGAATCGTTAGCAATCATTCTATACTACCATTAGGTCTTTGGCATTGGATGAACCTCAAACCTTTGATGTGTTTTCGGGAAAGTTGATTTTTCACTTGTTCGCAGAAAACTGTTGGGTTGAGGTCTGAGACCTTAAGTGAAGGCAATTTGCTTCAAATTCATCTCGTATCAAGAGTTTCTAACTAGTACTTGAGAGAGAGCCAAGCATATATTCTTTCTTTCTGTAGATCAAAAGAACTAGTAGGATACGTCGTCTAATAATTAGCGCTTCGCAAACTGGGTTAGACGGCCCCCCTCACATACCTTTGATTGTGTCACACTTCCCTGGATCACATGTAGAGCAATACTATCATATGGACCTTGATGAGAGCGGTTTCTGATTTCGTGAAATTAACTACACTGAATTGGATGGCTAGAGTTTTGTGCTGTGTTCACAGAGCTTAAGTGCCCAATCTACGTTCACACAATGAATTTCACCTACGTTGGAGTCCGAAATGAAAGCAAGTAAAGTGAAGCCAGTTCCTCACTCGACTGATGAACTCAGTGAAGTATCGACAAGTTCTGGAAGGAATATGGAGTAATGTGGTGTATACAATCACCGAACACATAAACTAACCACTCGGTATCTGTTGTGACAACACATCTAAAGAGTTGATCATGGGTTTGTTCGCTGAGCTGGGCAATTTGATTGATTTCATCACCAATCGAGGTGACACCATCAGTGCGTTATTGCGGAGCGTAGTGGTGGGTTACCACCACAATCAAACAGCTTCTCAATAACCAAATTCGCCAGATTTGCTAAATATGAGCCCATCAAGATCAAAAGTCATCACCTGAGTAGAGCCTTTTGTAAATTCTGTTGGTGTTAGCCAGATCCAAACTGATGTACCCGAACGAATGGCGCAGTATTTGAGATGGTGTAGTACATATTTATATGAACCACCCACCACCGTGATTTGGCAATGAGAACCCTTTGCTTGCAATTAGATGTCCAAGAAGAACGTAAAATTGAAGGAATCTGTGTATTTGGTCTATCTGATGCACCCTAGGAGGGACAAAACTGGTAGTGGAATTCGAAGCTTTTCCAACCGTTCTATGAGCAGTGCATTCCATCTGGAGATCGTACCGTTGTGTTCGGAGTGTCATACAAACTAAGACATGAGGCGGCCATGTTGCAGCACATCTCTTGGAAGATATCACGATCCAGTGATTCCTCTGGGATTCCGTTGGGTCTCCTGTTAGGACTAAATTAGTTGACAAATCAATCTCTTTCACAATTCGCGCCCAATTTGGGTTCAAGAATGACATAATATAGCTAGAACGTCTGTAGTTTGTCTGCATGATTAGCCCAACGATGGGTAAAAGCGTTGGTGGGAATGTGAAGGACCTCGAGCATCCAGATAAGTGGTAGGCTGTATCACACATCTTCTCTGAATACTTCAGTTTTTTCACGCACTTGGACGACTGATTCCAGCAACAGTAAACGGAATTCGAAAAAAGTTATATATAAGCGAAAAGTTACCGACAACTTATGCGAGTCGCGCGTTAATGATATCTTTTCGTACGTGTAGGCGTCAAACTATAATTCAGAGGAATGTAGAACTAATCCACCAATTACAGTCAGTTTACTTTTCATAGGATTATAAATTTACTGTTAGGCGAGCTACTTACCAATTGACAATGATAGATATATCATGGAGTTTAATATCAGATTTGAGTGCAGGGGAGACAAGTATTGGGAAAAGCTTAGATATGTACCCGGGCATGCATAAGTGCAAATTAAGAGGCAAGGTCCACAGACAGGACTCGATCCAGCGACCTCCCATCAGCCAGGTGAGTGCTCCACCCAACGAACCACCGCGTTTGTTGGCTTACTTCGTACCTGAGCTTGTATTGATCAGCCGCATTTCCGCCTAGTGGGTAAAAAGTTGATGTCTGTCCTTGTTATTAATGAGCAATTCATGTGAAAAATATATTGTGTCAAATGATGATATCACCAGATGATCCAAAGAGTGTTGGCTTTGAATTGTTGCAAGTGAGAATGGGGACTTCAAAGATCCATACACGACGTTCCAAAGAGTGAGCAAATGAACACCTGGGGTGCTTTCTGTATTGTTTGACTTGGAACTAGTGTGTGAATATAATCTGTGGACCTGCCTTTTTTCGCTTACCTGCCACTCGGTTTCGAACATGCTGAAGTCGGCCAATCCCTGTCCCGTCAAGAGAGCACTGGTGAGTAGACGCCTGAAAGCCAAATACGAGTGATTACTCCCTTGAGTATTTTGCGTCCTGATTGCCTTTCTAGGATAGTTTGGCAGAGTTTTACTTCAGACAGTTCTCCAGCAAAGCGTTGGAAAGGTAAAACTGGGGCCATTCTGACCTCTGACAAATGCTAACTAGTTAGCGATGGTCTTTGAGGTGATGTTTTAGTGATAGTACAACATACCTCATTCACAAAATTGTTTTATATCGGTTTAGGTTATGATATCGCGCCTACTAGGCTGTGGCCGATCTTGTCCTTGAAAGGAAAGAGCCGACAGGCAAAGAATAGCAAAAGAAGTTAAAAAAGACATTAGTAAAACCACATGCCACAAACGATTTGCTTTGATTCAGCGGTCGAAACATTCTAGCAGAAACGAAGGTTTCTCGTGTAAGTTGTATTGTATTTATGCCCGAGGGCCAACCTGGTCTTAGGAAAGCCATTTTTGAGGTCGTGCAGTTCTCTGAGGTGTTTATCCTACGTGCCAGAGTGCCCGGCCAATTTTTTCCTCTTTAAAAGTACAGGTCATGGTTTGGTTAAGAAAGTGACAATTTCCACAATAAGCCTTAGCTTATAGAAATGTGGACAAGCAATTCGTCAGGGACGTGGGTGTATTTGTTAGTAAGTTGTTTGGATGTACATATAGTTCCTCCACAAGCATTCATGAATAGGTGTGGAATTTGAGCCGGCACTCGTTACTTCATATCAACTCCCTGCAAACATATTGTTATAAGCTGTCCTTGTGTGATCCCGAAGAGTAGTATTACAATTTCCACAATAAGCCTTAGCTTATAGAAATGTGGACAAGCAATTCGTCAGGGACGTGGGTGTATTTGTTAGTAAGTTGTTTGGATGTACATATAGTTCCTCCACAAGCATTCATGAATAGGTGTGGAATTTGAGCCGGCACTCGTTACTTCATATCAACTCCCTGCAAACATATTGTTATAAGCTGTCCTTGTGTGATCCCGAATCTGTGAGTAGTATGTGAACTTTAGGATTTACATTTTAACAAATACTCGGAACGGCTATTACGTCAGACATTAGGCGAATACTTCCACGAACAGATGAGCATATTCAAGAGGCTCTATCGACCGGACACTTGGGATGTAAGTATCATTCATGTCGAAGTAAAATCAGTCGTTCAGCAAGATGAACCACCAGAATACCTAACATAAAGAGTGAAGTGACTATTAGTTGGCATCAAAAATTTGAACTGGAGAAGCGGCTGTAACTACTAGGATGATATCCATCAATTGAGAATGAGGAACTCCGTTTTTTCTAGAAATTTCGACTATTCATCCGGTGGGATACCCTTGTCGTTGGTGCAAGCAGTCAGGTAATTAACTTCAGCTTTTCCTTCTCCCTAAATGTAATGCATTAATCACCAAGTTTCTAAAACCCCTTCTACTGCCCAAGACTGACTTCACTCTTCTTTGACCCTTCGGGTAGGCGTTAATCCTCGACCTGCGCTGAATCTTACGTTCTGCTTGGACCCAAACTGGACCATCTTAAACAAGAGATTCAGCTGGATTCATTTTAATCTACCATCAGAGCCAAATCCATGAGCAAATTAGAGTATTTGTCACAGAATTTTTTCACCGTTACTGAAGTAGCCATGATTTAGATAACCGGATCACAACTCAGCAGCACAGAAACTTGTGAGTTATTTGCGGCACGACCTTCTCCAGTACTTTATTTATCAAACCTATCAGTTTGTACGAAATACATAGGTGAAAACTGTTTGGACGGATTTTGACATCCAAAAAATACTTCAATACTTTAAATTTTGATCAAAATGAAATAGGAGATGGCATACAAGGACATCCCCTTGCGTCATAGAATGTCATCAACCAGATATTTGGTCACGTCACACATTAACACCATTCCGATGAATTGCTGATCCGCAAGATGTCGTGTTTCTGATTAGGGGACCAGAATCCACAGTCACATTTCTGCTGCGTGACAGGTCCATAAGCCAGCTATCGTTGACATTTGTGCCTACAAGCTAATTTTGGTTCATGGCAAAGTTAATTTGCTGATTGTGACATAAAATTTTGTTGACCAGCAGCTAACTAACTTTCCGTGTTGTAATTCACCAAATTAATTTCTTCCCCAATTGCAGCTTCGTCACACACGAGCCGGGTTCCTTCATTTACTTCTTCCTGGACAAATTTGCAGTTCTGCTATTCAAGTCCGGTTGACATGTTCCGCCGAATACTTTTCGTGCATTCCTCAATCGCCATCGAACAAACACATTCGGAATATTAAGAATGCAATCATATATTTCACTGTTTAAGCTTACCCAAATCTGTCCTGTTGCTTCGCACTGGTGTTCGTCATTTATTTGTATAGCTAATCAAGCCACTGTTTTTTTTACCGAGAATTCATGTCGAAGTAAAATCAGTCGTTCAGCAAGATGAACCACCAGAATACCTAACATAAAGAGTGAAGTGACTATTAGTTGGCATCAAAAATTTGAACTGGAGAAGCGGCTGTAACTACTAGGATGATATCCATCAATTGAGAATGAGGAACTCCGTTTTTTCTAGAAATTTCGACTATTCATCCGGTGGGATACCCTTGTCGTTGGTGCAAGCAGTCAGGTAATTAACTTCAGCTTTTCCTTCTCCCTAAATGTAATGCATTAATCACCAAGTTTCTAAAACCCCTTCTACTGCCCAAGACTGACTTCACTCTTCTTTGACCCTTCGGGTAGGCGTTAATCCTCGACCTGCGCTGAATCTTACGTTCTGCTTGGACCCAAACTGGACCATCTTAAACAAGAGATTCAGCTGGATTCATTTTAATCTACCATCAGAGCCAAATCCATGAGCAAATTAGAGTATTTGTCACAGAATTTTTTCACCGTTACTGAAGTAGCCATGATTTAGATAACCGGATCACAACTCAGCAGCACAGAAACTTATGAGTTATTTGCGGCACGACCTTCTCCAGTACTTTATTTATCAAACCTATCAGTTTGTACGAAATACATAGGTGAAAACTGTTTGGACGGATTTTGACATCCAAAAAATACTTCAATACTTTAAATTTTGATCAAAATGAAATAGGAGATGGCATACAAGGACATCCCCTTGCGTCATAGAATGTCATCAACCAGATATTTGGTCACGTCACACATTAACACCATTCCGATGAATTGCTGATCCGCAAGATGTCGTGTTTCTGATTAGGGGACCAGAATCCACAGTCACATTTCTGCTGCGTGACAGGTCCATAAGCCAGCTATCGTTGACATTTGTGCCTACAAGCTAATTTTGGTTCATGGCAAAGTTAATTTGCTGATTGTGACATAAAATTTTGTTGACCAGCAGCTAACTAACTTTCCGTGTTGTAATTCACCAAATTAATTTCTTCCCCAATTGCAGCTTCGTCACACACGAGCCGGGTTCCTTCATTTACTTCTTCCTGGACAAATTTGCAGTTCTGCTATTCAAGTCCGGTTGACATGTTCCGCCGAATACTTTTCGTGCATTCCTCAATCGCCATCGAACAAACACATTCGGAATATTAAGAATGCAATCATATATTTCACTGTTTAAGCTTACCCAAATCTGTCCTGTTGCTTCGCACTGGTGTTCGTCATTTATTTGTATAGCTAATCAAGCCACTGTTTTTTTTACCGAGAATCTACGCACCTGCTATAATAATGACTGTCAAATGAACTGATTTTATGAACACTTCTCATTCATTCAATTGGAAAATGTTTTGGGCCGATTGAGGAGTCATTGTTTGGTAAGCAGTTAGTGGATTTGCTGCTGGGCAACTTTTATCTTTTGAACGACCCCAAGAGGAATTTCCCATCCTGTCCCAGACTAAAAAAAACAAAGACGAAAAATCTGGGTTCAACATGAAGACAGATTGTTTGCCCTAACTAATCTATCGTAAATGTTAGTCATCCTAACTAACCAACCTACAGGAACATCTGACTGAACACCCAGCACTGATCAAGTCGGCTAGCCATAAGAAATCTCACGGATTAGTTCCCTGACTGGCTTAAAACCCAATCAACCTACTTACTCACTCACTTGGCCTGACGAAGCTTTCGTGTCAAAAGCGAAATTGTGCCCAGCAATGAATCCACCGATTGTTTAACAAACCTCTCTGAAGCTCTTCATTCATCTTCAAAATAGCCATCGCTTGACGCATGCACTTAAGTGGATCAGAAGACATTCCGTCTGGTAGCCGTTATCACGCACATTAGTCCCGCGCAGGGTGTTCGCGGCATGAAACCGGTTGAGTGGGCTGTTTAGCTGATATGAACATAAGTGTAGTAAAACTTCGCGAATGCTCGGAAAACAACGCTTACGACGAATCCATAGTACTTTGTTGTAACTCAACATAGAACGGGTGCATTAGATAGTTTGATGGGACTTGTTGGTCTGTAGCGAGATTTAAAAATACCTCAATTAGTTTTTCGTGCACTGCAATGGCAGACCCGCTCAGCAAGCAGGGTCAAAGCATTCGTTGTTACGAACGCTTCATCGCAAGAGTTAATTATGGCCGGCAAGCAAACTTAAATGTATCATCAGATTGACATGGACGCATGAAATACCACATTACCAGAAGCTCGGGCTATTTAGATTAACGATTTTGTAATGTCAAAACTCGGCAAAATTCAGTTATTTCTAGTCACTCAAAGCAGTTCTTGCAAATTATTTTAGCGTCTGATTTCTGAATCCGCCGACTCTTTGACGTTCCAAATGTGGTAATCCTAATCCGGTCAGAACTCGCCGAATCATTTACTCGTTGGTGAGTTCAAGTTCACATAACTCTCCTTTGAACAGCCGTTCTTCTATCCTGGCGTAATTATTCTGGTGACTTTACCAAAGTGAGCAATCACTGAAGTCAAATCTCGCCTTCATTAGAGCTCATCAGCAACGCATATCCCTGGCCGTGTCGGGGTTTGAACTCCGCATGTCTGACATTCTAGGCAGATGTGATATCACAATTTGAGCAGCCCAACCTGAAAATATTTGAACTGGTGAACGTGTTCAGGCTTGGGCGATGTGGTTAGTTTGCCCGTCTCCTCGAAAGATGACCCAGTAAGTGTCTTGGGTGTATTGAGCGACAGACCCAGTTGTCAGGACTTTTCAATCAGGTAGCACCACGGACGCTCGAAACCTGCTAGTCAATCTTCAGGTAGCAGTGGTAATATTCCCCCCTCGCAAGTCACATCCGGAGTTCAAACCCCCGGATGGCCAATGATGTGCACTGCTGATGAGCACCAAGTAGAGCGAAACTCGAGTCCAGTGCTTCCCTCTTTGGTGCGGACTCACCAAAATGATTACGCCACTACAGTAGGACGACTGCTCATAGGAGAGTGATATGAACTTGAATGCTGTAGGTCCCACCAACATCTACAACCAGCTGCGGATTAGCGGAATACACTCATTTGCAAACTAATTTGCTTTCGCGAGAGACTCACCTGGAATCTAGCTGAATCTCTCGTTTGTGATGTATCCAGGCGACTGAATGTGCTGCACCAGGCCGCCTCATTTTTCAGTATCTTACAGGCCTTATCTCTGGACGCGCCCAGACACGAAAAAAGCACATGTGCAGAGAGTGACGTATCCCCAAGGTCACCATCGGTACGACACATCCGGAAAGCAGGTGAGTTGGCGGCTCTCACCAAACACGTCTTAGCAACATACGGCCAGCGTAGTGGCCCTGAGACTGTTCACGACCGGAACATCGCCATTGGCTGTACAGAACGAACAAGCGAACGACCATATTTGTCCATTTAGTCATCCTATGTATTTACGAAGAAGCTCTAAATATATTGTTCTGGCAGTACAGCCATGTTCCGAGTTCTCTGTCTTCTCCTTATCCGTGGTCTGGCAAGCTCAGTGCAGGCGTAACCGATAGAAGGCCACCCACTATACAACACCTTCACTAAGGCACTGATTTTGAATACAACGTTTTGAAGATTATCCCATATATGCCATTGCCTTGACAATAAACGGATCGTGGTTTTCACGCGGTCAACGCTACGATCGCCCTTTTACTGGACGCACTATGAACCATAGATAGATGAGCGGAAAAGGGTCATGGCTACTGTATAGAAACATTTCCTTAGATTGTTGAGTGTGACATAGTTCACTTATCCTAGAATATCAGTCACATGATCCTGGTAAATTAATATTGATGTATTTGTTCACAGTTTCTTAATGGAACCTGGGAGTAAGCTACGAGGGATTTCGTCTAGTGTCTCTTCCACTGATGGCCAATTTTGCCATGGTCCCATCTTACGAAGAAGTGTCGTGGTTGCACTCTGATGGGGTCAGTTTTAAGGCTCAGCCAGCGTTAGTTATTTCCCAGCATGATATGCTGAATTCAATCAATGTGCTATTTATAGGTTAACCTTGGTTTAGGCGGATAACCTGAGTTCTTCGTTAGCTGTGCTCACATCATTGTTACTGGTGCACTAGTTAGCCTGCCGATTGCAAACTACCGATTGTTTACCAAGCCCTTCTGAAACTAGTAAGCCTCATCTTCACACTAAAGGACTCAGGTGGCACTTTAGGCAAACAGCCGTTACAAGTAAACAGTATACCCCCAACTGTGCTCTACATTGGGCTGCCATTCAAGAAAATGTCAGCTCACCCCGAGCAAGATCAATGCAGTGTGTGCGCGTGACTCAAGTGTATGAATTATCAATCTATGTCTTACGTTAACTAAGAGGGATTGGCGCTTTGTGGAAAGGAAGCGATTCTGACATTCACCAAACTAACCAGTTGTCAGGTGACCTACAGAGGTTCAACAAAGGATCTTCTGGTCTCAAGTGTGTTAGCGCTAAACCGATTTTGGGATTTATCTGATGAGAACTGGGGTAGTTAAACCAAAGCCTGAACAGGCCATTAAGTGAACTCAGCAGCCGCTGCTCTCTTGCGATTCCTTTGAGCCGTTTACAGTTAGGCGGCTGAATTTACACGAAGTATCATGTTTTAATAACTGGATGATCGTCCGCAACATGCTCTGCCTTTTAATCATTACTGGTAAAATTTGGCTGATTTGCAGTCATACGGAACTCATGGGAAATCAAGTCAATGCAAGCTCAGCAGTCGGTACACGTGCACGAATGGGTAAGAACGTTAGAAGCGCACATTAACACAGCCTTGCTCATGTACCGGTGTCGGACAGGACGGCCTTTGGGGCATGGTGGATGGCCGGTACAGA